GGAATAAATCCATTAAATACTGGGGTGAGAAAAATAAGTAGAAGGAATCTAGAAATAACCATGGTTTAAGAATAACCTAGACATATTATCTTGAAAGCAATTAAAAAATTTGTCCTTTGGAAAAAATGATCTATAATATAATATAGCAAGTCATAAGATGTGTTATATTGGTCAGTTTCTCAATACTATATAAAATACCTGAGGCAACTAATTTACAAAGAGAAAAGTTTTATTTATAGTTGAGGCTCAAAGGCAYGGTGCCTGAACAACACTTGGTTTCAGTGAGGGCAGCAAATGATGGCACATCATGGTAGGAGCATAGGAATAGTCACATCTTGACCTGGAGCAGACAGAGACAGACTGGGGTCCCCAACTCCCCTTTGAAGGCACATCTCCAATGACCTAAAGACCTCCCCATAAGCCCCACATACTAAAGGTTCTATCACCTCCCAATAGCACCACTATGGGGACCAAGTCTTTAATACAAGTAAGGCCCAGAACCATGAGAGTAGAGGGGACATTCACCATCCAAACTATAGGGCAAATGACAGCGTGGTCTAGTAGGACTTGGACTCTGTATACAGAGTTTGGTTCCTGGCTGTGTTTAATTTTGCCCCAGTTATAACATCCTTCACCTTCAAAGACTAATAGCTAAGGACTTCTAACGACCTGGATTTATAAAGATAGAGGCTCCCAAAGCTTTCTGGGGAGGTGATTGCTGTCTTCCCCAAGGCTAGAAATTGCACCATCATTTCACCTAGAAACTCAGGCTAAAAGCTTGGGTATCCTTGCTTTTTTATTTGCCATTTAAAAAAATTGATACATAAAATTTTACATATTTATTGTGTGCAACCTGATAAAGTACATATACATATCATAAAATTGTTAAATTTACATAATTAAATGACACATTAAATCATACAGCTATCAGGGTTGGGGATGTGGCTCAAGCGATAGCGCKCTCGCCTGGCATGCGTGCGGCCCGGGTTCGATCCTCAGCACCACATACCAACAAAGATGTTGTGTCTGCCGAGAACTAAAAAATAAATATTAAAAAAAAAAAGAAAGAAAGTTTTTGGCTTATGAGTCACTGATGGTACTGTCAGGTTAAAGCAATAATTGATGTCCAGTCAATTTTATAGACTAAGGAAATGAGGCATAGAACATTTGCCATAGCCAAAGATGGCAAAGCAGGTTTCTAATCCACTTATGTGTGAATCATAGTAGAGGCCCTCCCAGTGCCTAACATTGACTCCATCAATGCCCACACTCTCACAGATCTTGGCATGTGTGTCTTAGAAGTGGACCTGCTGAGGTGAATGATGGCAGGATGCTCATAACTACCCACAGTTCTTGCTAATGCAGGGAGAAACAGCTGCAGTATGAGATCTTGAAAAAATTTCCAAATGCCTTCATACAGGAATTACACATTCAGTTTCATTATGCAATTGACTGCTGCCATAATGTCATGTCTTTCTTCTAGCAAACTTCTTTGTATAGTGANTCGCCTGGCATGCGTGCGGCCCGGGTTCGATCCTCAGCACCACATACCAACAAAGATGTTGTGTCTGCCGAGAACTAAAAAATAAATATTAAAAATTCTCTCTCTCTCTCCCCCCCCCCACTCTCTCTTTGGAAAAAAAATCATACAGCTATCATTTTTGAGGTGAAAACATTTAACATTCACTATTTTTACATTTTTCAAGAATATAATACATTGGCATGGTGGTCACCTTGTGTACATTGGTCTCTTGAACTTATTCGAACTGTAATTATATTTCCTTTGACCAACATATCCCCGCAACGGTCCCCTCCTCTGGGAACAATTATTCTACTGTCTACTTTTCTGAGTTCAACATTTTTAGCTTGAGATCATATGAATGTGTATCTGGCTTATTTCACTTACCATTCCCAAGGTTCACCCATGCTGTTGGAAATGACATTCTTTCTCATGGCTGTGTAGCACTCTTTTGTATATATACACATTTTATCCAGTCATCCAATGATGGACACTTACTTAGGTTGATTCAATTCCTTGGTTATTATGAGTACTTCTGCARTAAATATAGGAGTGCAGATATCTGAGTATTTCACTGCTTTTGGATATAGACCTAATAGAATATTTGGATATTGCTGTATCATATAGTAATTCTATTTTTAATATTTTGAGGAATCTCCACATTGCTTTGCATAATGGTTGTATTAATTTATATTTCCACTAACAGGGTCTAAGGGTACCTACCTATTGTCATTTGAACAYGAGGTATGCCCCCAAACTTCTGTGTTAATGCAGGAAAAKTCAGAGGTAGAATGATTAGATCATGAGAGTTGTAATCTCATCAGTCCATCCCAGTTTAAATGGCTAACTGGGGGGTGGTAATGGTAGGCAGGTGAGATGTGGCTAGAGGAGGTGGGTCACTGGGGATGTTCTCTGGAAGGGTCCATCTTTCCTGTGGCCCCCTTAAACCCTCTGCTTCCTGGCCAGCCATGAACAGAGCAGCATTCTTCCACTACTAGCCCCCTTGCCTAGATGTTTTGTCTCACCTTGGTCCCAAAGCAAGAGACTTGGCCAACATGGACTAAATCTCTGAAACCAAAGCCAAAATAAGCTTTTCCTCCTCTAAGTTGATCTTGTCCGGTATTTTGGTCAAAGCTAACACAGTGCTCTTTTCCCACATTTCAGAGTAATTTTTGTTTCTTCCTTTTTTCCTTATAGGCCTCCACATCTAAACCATCAGTTAATTCTGGTGATTTTCTTTCTGAATCTGAAATGTGTCCTATATCTGTCCATTTTTCACAAACTCCAGTGAAGATCACCCTAATCCAAGCTACCTACCATCTTGGTAGAGTGCTGGGGATAGAGCAGTGAACGAAACAAAACGCCTATACTCAGCATGCTTTCATTGTAGTTGGAAAATACGATCAGCAGATCATAGAGTTTTTGGATTCAATGGGTCTGGGGCATTTCTAGCAGGTTCCCTTCTTACTGAAAGAAATCATTCTTTGAGAACCATAGCTTTAGAGTGCACATGAGCACACATTAGAATCACCTGGGAGCTTGTAAAAACTGTGCTTGGGCCCTACCTCTAAAGATTCAGATTCATTCAGTATGAGGAAGAGATTTGGCTATTTGTAATTTTCCAATATCCCTAGGTGGTTCAGATTGAGTATGCAGGGTTGAGAAACACAGACAAAGATTAGAGGACCAATTTTGTCTGCTTCTTTTGCACAAGCTGTTCCTATTACCTATTATGTTCTCTCCCTAGGTCTTTCCGTGGCTAGATTCTTGTCAATCAGGTCTCCAATCAAATGCATTTCCTCAGGCAGGCCTTCCTTAATCCCTCAATCTAAATAACACCTGTCTTCATCATACTGTCCTGCTTCCCTTCAGAGGAATTTGCAGTTCCTGCAATATTCCTAATTATGCTGATTGCATTTTCCAACTACAATGGAGGCATGTTAGGTATAGGCATCTTGTTTCATTCACTGCTCTRTCCCCAGCACCTAGAGTTATTCAATATATGCGAATGAAACAAGACAAAACCCTTAAAATAAACTTCTTCACTCTTTTCAATCAAATTTTAATAAAATGTGTTTTATTTTTTGCAATAGAATTGAGTCATCCATGAAAAAAAGCATAAATTGACCCCCCCCCCCAACTACCACTTAACTGTACTGGGTTCATTCTTCAGTGATTCTATATTAGATCTTCTGCAAAGCAAATAACCATCCCTTGATGTATTTTCATATACAGTATTTGTTGACAATGCTGCTCCTTACAGAACCCAGCTCACAAAATAAGTCAGCCATGAATGTCTAGGATATTCTTATTAAATTTAGGGATTGCTGCTTAGACTTTGCTTTTGGAAATAGAAGAGAGGGAACAGAAATTTGTGGCAGAGTAGAAAGGTTTTAAGTAGTGTGTTTGAGGTTATTAAAGTGTTTTCATACAAATATGTTCAATTCAGCGCGGCAGCCTTCAGCTGTGGGTCATAAGTCACTTGGTTTCAGAAGAATCAAACTTCCAACTCAGGCAGGTGAATAAGGGTACGGCAGAAGTCCTAAGTCACCCGCCGGGAATTTCTGAAATAYATTACCTATGAAAAACAGAACACAACATCTGTTGCTGGGGGAAGCTGATTCCGTTCCCTCCCTCCAGAGACCAGAGTGCTTCCTCTAACGTCCCAAGTATCCAATCTTCGCCCAGGGCAATAAGGCTGGGTTCAAGTGCAACCAGTTTTTCAGGCAGTCGCCTACCCTTTCCTCCCTCTGCAAACTTAAAACAAACGACTTAGTCCGTGGAGTAATGACTGAAATCCCTCAGGCGCCCCAGGAGCGCAGGAGCGGGCAGCTAAGCACCCGGATTCCGAGAACACCCGCTCSCAGTCCGCAGACAGAGGTGGCGGCCGGAGAAAAACCCAGGGCGGAGCGGTCTGCTGGAGGGAGTAGAGAAACCTGGTCGCGATGCTTTCTGGGAGTTGTAGTCCTAGCAGGACAGCTCACTCCAGCCTCCGCCGGGCTTCGTACTACAGCTCCCAGCAGCCCTCGCGTCCTGGCGGAGGCGAGCGGAGGGGGCGCTTGGTGATGAGCTGCTGCAGGGGGAGGGGGCCGGGGGCCGAGAAGCTGCTGCGGCAGCCGCCGGGAGTCGTTGACATCTGGCGTCCCTGGGGGCCCTGGGATCCTCGGGCGGGCGACAACCTGGGCCTTGTGTCCGCTGCGTGTCTCCGTGCTCACTCTCTCTCCTCAGACACTCGGCGTCCGCCATGGAAGCGCATCCGGCTGCCACCGGGGTCTTCGGGCGTCGCGGTCCCGGGCTTTGCGGAGCGAAGAGGGGGTAACGGCGCCCCGAGGCCCAGCTCCCTCCTACGCCCCGCCCGCACGGGCGAGAAGGAGGGTCGGTGGACGGCCGCGCCGCGGTGCCCGCCTCCGCGCCGCGCCGCCCCGCCCCCTGGGGGCGCTGCCGAGGGGCGCACGCCGCCCATGCCGCCTCGGCGCCTCGCCGCGCCCGGCGCCCGCCGCTGAAGCCCGCTCGCGCCTGTCCGCTGCCGCCGCCGCGCCCGCCGCCTTGAGGCGACCACCCTCCGCCCAAGATGTGGCACAACGTCGGGCTGACGCTGCTGGTGTTCGTGGCCACACTCCTGATCGTCCTGCTGCTGATGGTGTGCGGTGAGTGCGGCGGCCGCCGCGGGGGTAGTTCCGCGCGCCGGTGTGACTCGGGCTGCCGGCTCGCGGGTCGGGTCTCGTTGGGAAAGAGCCAGCCCGCGAGAAAGGCGTGGACGGACGGCTGGACACCGTCGGCGCCCCCTTCCCTCCCCACCGGGGCGCGGAGCCGTGCCCCCGCCCGTGGCAGGCCCGCGGGCATCCCTGGGACGGCGACGGCGGGCTGCAGGCTGGGCATCTCCGGTGCAGCTTGAACCAGATGCTGCTTCACCTCTGGCGGCTGCCCGGGGTTGCCCTTCCTGCCCCCGACTGCCCAGATTTTGACCCTGTGGCCTGTTTTCCAGGGGAAGCGATCGGTTACTCTGTCCTTGTCCTCTACAGGTTCTGACCCTAATGACAGAGAGGGTTCACTACTTTCATTTAACCAGGATTGGGACACACTTAGGTTTTCAGCGCACATGAAATTGTTTACTTCGTGTTCCTGCTTCAGCTAAATTCCAGAAATGTTGAGAACAGGCAGAACTTAAAAACAACAGCTATATTAAACTTGCAGGGTCAGGTAACCTAACCCTTCGTCCTGAAGTAGTGGTACTGTTTTGGGTATGTTCCTTCTTGGAATGAGAGAACATTAAACTTTCTTCCCAAGGCAGTGTTAAGAGTAGTTTTGATTTTTTTTTTTTTATTTCTTTATACGCAGTAATTGGTAATCATAGGTCTCAGCAAAGAGGCTGGGCAATTGTGAAAATTTGCAAAGTATTTCAAGTAGATGTGAGTTTATTTATATTTAAAAGATTAAAGTAGGGGTTCCAGTTGATGCAATAATTAGTCAGAATTCACAATAAATCCTACAAAGCTTTTTCATTACACAGTTGAGGGTATTAGAGCTATGCTTGGAAAAGATATCTGTGCCTTTGTGCATATATCTTTCTATTTATACACTTGTATGTATATTTAAAATCGATTTTGATGGTGTTGAGGGCAAAATCCAAGGCCTTTATAAATAATAAGCACACACTCTACCACTGAGCTATATACCCCCAGCCCTAATTTTTTTCCTCCTATGATATCAGAGCTAAAATTTTTAACTTGCATCTTTTCTTTTCTGAGGATATAAAACAATTGAAGTGTCTCTCAAAGTTCTGTTTGTAATGTCTGCATTTTAGGCTAATTGAAGATGTTTAAGGTTCTTAAAGTAGGAAAAACCAGATTCTTGTGATTTATTTGGCTGTGGTGAAGGAGGAATGTATGTTATCCCTTTTGATTTGAACATGCAAGTTACCTGGACACAGGGATGTGACATACAAACCACACCACACCTTGAATAGAATATTTGCCAAACTTACTGTGAGGCATCAGAGTTTCTATTTGCTTTGCCATTTCTCAGTATCTATTTATTCATTTTTCTAAATGTTTCTTACTTTTAGCTTCAGGAAACACAGAATAAGAGTGGTGAGGTATATAACACCTTATTTGATTGGATTGGTCAAGAACTGATAGCTTTATGAAGAAGTAATTCAAACACTTTTTTGGAGACCTAATGATGGGGTAGAAGACCTAATGATGACTAGAATGGGGTTGGGACTTAGGAGAGGAGGGAAGGACCAGGCCATCCTTGAGAAATTGGGGCACTGTATTAGTTTGCTAGGGCCAATGTAGCAAAATACCATAGACTGGGTGGCTTAATCAATCAATTCTCACTGTTCAAGAGGCCAAAAGTCTGGGATCAGGGTGTCAGCAGGATTGATTTTCTTCTGAGGGTTCACTGCTTGGTTTGTTTATGACCTTCTTCCTGTGTCTTCACATGGTCTGTCTTCTGTGTTTGTGTCTCAAATCTTTTATAAAAGGACAACATTTTTTGAATTAGGATCCTCAACCTTATGACTTCATATAACCTAATTTACCTCTTTAAAGACCTCCAAATATAGTCACATTGGAAGTTAGGATTTAATATGTGAATTTGAAAACAGAGGGGACACATTTCAGTCTATAATAAGCACCATGTCTTTAGCACTGCCTGGAAGGTGAGGGAGCAGTTGGATAGTTCAGGTGGATGTCCTTAAAACAGTTGCTACCTTTCTGGTGCTCACAAGCCCTTTTGAGAGTCTGATGAATGTTATTTATGAACACTTACTTTTTTAGAAAGTTGTACCAAGACTTTTCTAGTTCAAAGATTTCATGAATTTTTTGTTTATTTTTGAGAAAAAGGAAAAAGAAGGTTTACTACTTTGAGAAGCACAGGAACTCCTTTCCCAGAGGCTGTGATTCTGCCCATCAATGGGAATAGGGGCTTTTAAAGAGGTGGAGGCTACATTAACTGTGTTCTTGGTTGAAGTTGTAATTCACTTGTTAACTTGGGAGATAGTAATTTCTGAGATCTTCTGGCCATTCCCAAAGTCCAGAACTTGGATCCTGTGGTGGGTGTGTGCTCAAGGACAGATAACTGCCTAAAATGGGGAAGAAAAGTAATCCTGTTCCCTCTGAGATTAGGGAGAGGGGAAGAGAAGAAACATGTCCATTTTAAAATTAAGTTGCAGTGGTAGAGCAGCAAGGGCTACATTGAAAGCATGAAATGGATCGCTGTTACATTTCCCCTGTTGATTTCTACATTCTGGTGGACTCCCTTTCTTAAACCTAAACATAGAGTACAGATTAAAAACCTTTGCTTTGGGGTACTGGGTCTCTTGATTTCTAATTTCATTCATCTGCAAACTGAGTGTTCAGTGCCTCCTAGGCACTGGAAACATGATTGGGTCTGCTACAAGGAATTATAGCAGAGTTTGTTTTAGAACTCTTATAGGCTCTTTTATATAGCAAATTCTGATTTTTCAAATTTCAGGTTCCTGGGAAGGTTTTTCTTTTTTCTGTATTGGTGGTTTCTTTATTCTCACCTTTCATTCATGTCTAAAATGTTTTCTACCCCCATCATACAATGAGCTCCCTTGCCAAGTTCAGTTAAAAAATGGCTGCCATGTTACCAAGTCGGTAGTTATTTATCAGTCCTAATTGAACTTGACCTGTTATAATCACTCTATAAAATTGAGCATTCTCTCACAAGCATTTCTTTCTTTCTTTTTTTTTATATACTCTTCTTTCATGGTGTTCTTCCTTCCATTCCCCATCTTCTCATTCCCTAGAATTTCTTAACTTTTTCTCTTTTTACCACAATTTATAATGAATTATATTATTCTCCATATTTTCCTAAGTACATCAATTACAAGTGTCAGTTGGTTTGTATATACATTTAACCACAATCTATGTATCTCTTTGAAGTAGTGTATGGGTTAGTACTTGCTCTTGCTCCATGGAATGCTTGCTATTTTAATTTTTTGTGCTATGTTTCTATAATGTACAAATATATTTCTGTTTTCTACTTATTCTCTCCCTAAGCTACCTTATCCATTCCTACTGACTTACATACCAGATGTAGCAAATGAGTCTAAAGTTTASGTCTCCAACTTTGATTTCTTCTTTGAGTACCCAGCTTTTGCATCAGACTTTTGTTCCAATCTCACTGGAGATCTAATAAGCATCTCAAATTTATACATCTAAAACAGGATTTCTGATTCCTACCACCTGTTCCTTCCCCAGTTTTACCCATCTAAAGAATTCCGTACTTCACTCCGTGGGTCAAGCCAAGAATTTAGGTATCATCCTAGGTTTAACCCTTTCCTTTACTCTCCCATCCATGCACATCAACCCCCTGTGCAAGTTTTCTGTTTTATTTCCCTGAAAAAAAAATATGAAATATGTTCTGTTTTATATTATCAATGCAGCCACCACTGCTGCCTTTATCACCATCATCACCATCATCACCATTGTCTTTGGCTGCTTTAATTTCCTTACTAGTGTTTTTTCCAGTCCATCTTTCTTTCTGAATCACTTACCACATACTAGCTAGAATTTTTTGTTGTCGTTACTGGGATTGAACCCAGGGGTGCTTAACTACTAACCACTGAGCCACATCCCCAGCCCTTTTTTAATATTTTATTTAGATACAGCGTCTTGCTAAGTTGTTAAGGGCCATGCTGAGTTGCTGAAGCTGGCTTTGAACTCATAATCCTCATCCTCCCCAGCTGCTGGGATTAAAGGCGCGTGTGTGTGTGCGCGCACCCCCGGCGACAGTTTCTTTTCTTTTTTTTTTTTGTATGGAAGATTGAACCTGGGCACTGAACCACTAAGCCACATCTCCAGCCCTATTTTGTATTTTATTTAGATACAGAGTCTCACTGAATTGCTTAGTGCCTCCCTGTTGCTGAGGCTGGCTTTGAACTCTCGATCTTGCCTCAGCCTCCTACAGACAGTTTTTTAATAAGAAAATGTTTAATCAAATTTTAATAGAAGAAATATAGTTTCAAAAGTCARTAGTATACGATCAAGAAAATAGTTCCTTTTAACCTTTAGATTCACTGCAATCCTGGTTATTTAATTCTGTATTTATATATAACATATTCATTGCTATCTCTGGTTTTGCAATTTTAGACATTGTTAAGATAGAGTCTACCCCAACTTCTTGCCATTAATAACACAATTTTTGGCTAACTTAATAGTCAGAATTTATATTTGGACTGTGTAATTATTATTCCCTGCTGGTCAAATGGTATAATGTGACCACATATAGTTTCTTCTATGGTTCTTCATGTTTCTTGAAGTTAACAATTGCCTTTTAAATTTACTTAGTATTTTTTGTATGTTTCCATTGTTATTAGATCCCCCTTCCAGTGTTTTATAATCCTTAACACATGCTTGTGAGTAATATTTCCCATATGTTTAAATAAATTGTTCTTCCCCTTCTTTCCCCTCCCAGTCCCAGGGCCCATCTTTCTTCTCAGCAGCTGTCATTCTCATGGGAAGCTGAATTTTCTCTGCTACCCTGTTCTGTACATTTTCTGGATTCATGGCATCGTTTACGTTCTTGTTGGAGCATGTTTTGTAGTAACTCTAAGAAGGAATACAGGGAAAATAGTTTTTTGAGCTAACACGTACTTTTAAATGTCTTTTTAATTTTT